TTTAAGTAAGACTTAAAACTCTCTGTCTCTATCCTTCTTTCGCTTTAAAATGAGAAGGGCTTAAAATCAAACATTGATGCAACCGGGTCTTAAAATATAACGATATTTGTAAATAATCTTGCTTCTCATTCATAAACTATTTCCTTTATTGTAATTTATCTATCTTTTTTCTAAATAATTAATTAGCATATTCTATTTGGTTTGAAGAAATATCCATGTATTGTTCAAAATTATAAGAGTCGTACATTAATCATTTAGCCGATCTTAAGTATCAAATTACATTTATTAACATTGTTACATTTATTTTATTTCATACTTCATTATTTTATACATTCACGAGCTTTTGTACTTTTTCAAATTTTAATTTTTTTTTTTACAATTGTTATGTATGTATTTTTACCAACACTGCATTTGTATTTGATGCTAAATTTTAAACAAATTTCTGATTATTTTAGTATTTTTTCCGCTATTATGCGCAATAAAATATCTTATATTCTTATACTATGTTACATCCATATTACATGAATCATATAAGCATATTACATGACTCTTACGCGCAGGTTACGTGAATTTTTTTTTACGCATGTAACGTGACTATAACTCGAAAGAATATAACTGGAGCGTCATTATGAAAATATTCCAAAAATACTATACTATAGAAATTTTGTATAATTTATTGCGTATCCGTAAATAAAATGAAATGGAACAAGCAAGGAGTTGAATGAGATTTAAAAGAATTCATTTTGACTAAAAATTAATTTTTATAACAAATTGAATAATGGCTTCTCGATTAAATCAAACTTAATTTGTAGAAAACTATTGTCGAAATATATGTTATCATAATTATGTAATGTATTAGAAAACGTTAAGATATAAGTATATCATTAAAAACAATAAATAAATTAACAATAGAAAATTTTATTTTAATAGAAATAAATTATTTAATAAAAAACATGTTTCAATAATAATTTAGTGGAAGATGCGCTCCCAGTATATTTCTGATATAGGAACGCTCCTAAGCCATAGTGTCAGGTGAGCGCTCGGTGACTCGACTGTCGAGCCTCGAGCGGTAATGGAGATCGCTTGCTGGAATCAGCCCGAAATGTGCAGATCTTTGCGAGCACTACTTGTACATTATTGTATAATCTCATTGATATCACTAAGGCCCAGTTCCACAACTCATAGTTAACTTTTAAATAAAGTTCAACTTGTTTCTCATTCTAGAATTCAAAAGAGACAATGAATAAGTTGAACCTTGGTTAAGAGATAATAGTGAGTTGTGGAACTGAATCTTAATAAACATGACGTGTTGAAATGGTGAACAACGTATATTTGAAATCGTAAAGATAACTAAAGCATATATCAAACTATTCATGGAGAATTTCGCCGCCACTTTTCCCTTCATCATCTTTTTGTGTGTTAAACACATGTTTCTTAAAAATTCGATTCCAGATTTAAATCGCATACCCTGATGATATAGAACAAGGCTCCTATTCTTGAAAAATATCGCGTACGTAAAATTAGAAATACTATAGTGTATGTAACATATACTATAGTATTTTTTGTATGTGATACTTTTCAAGAATAGGATCCCAGGATCAGGTATATCCGGGCAGCTGCTTTATAGGGGCGGCCGACAACCGTCAACATGTCTTTAATGCCCACATTCATAGTCAGGCCTTATATATATTTCGACGCTGCTTATCCCTACTATGTTAAAAGTGTTGCCTGCGCGCAATAAAAACCATCTAGAAATGTATAGAAAAGAGATGCCGACAGGTCTCGTGACTAGCCTCTCCTTGATTGATTCTTAAGTATATAAGGAAATGTCATCTAACAAGGAGGCAATCTAACTTTTAATTTTCACGCCCAGCAAATGAGAATGGATTGAAATGGATATATATATATAAATATACATTCAGAAATATGGATTCATAAATGTTAAAATAAACTCTTTTCAATCCTGAATACATTTTTATTAATTTATAGGAATTGTAACAAATGTCTATTTCTTCAATACATCAATCTTCAATACATTTTTATTCATTTATAGGAATGGAATGGAATGGAATATGTTTCTATGCTTTTCAATCTAAAAATAATATTATATTATATATGCATCGTGAATATTGCTCAATTCAAAATTGTGAATAGGAAATGCAGTTTTTCAATCCAGTTGAATTTAAAAATAATATCAGCCATTTTTGTGCATCATGAATACTGCTCAATTTAAAATTCTGAATAGAAAATACAGTTTTTTAATCCATTTGAAAAAAAAAGTTTTTCTTTTAAAATGAGCCATAAATATTATTCAATTCAAAATTGTGAATAAAAAATCCATTGTTTCTATTTGAAAATCCATTTAAAATGCATCATAAAAACTATTTTATTCAAAATTATGAATAAGAAAGTTTTTGTTTTAATTCAATTGAGTTAAAAAAAAATTATAATAAAAATATATCATGAATTCTACTTCATTTAATAATAAAAGAAACATAAAAAGAACTACATGAATATGTAAATGTTACATATATAAATTATTTATTTTTAATTAATTTAATAAATTAATCGCGTTTATGTATATTTCATATTAATATGTTTTCCTCATTATACAACTAGTGTATATTTTTTATATAAAAGTTTTAAAATAATAACTATTAAAGTTCATGTAATTACTACTTTAATTTATTTAAACTTTTACACATATAAACATTTTTTATATGGAATCCAATCCATTTTTATGGATTTAAAATATGGATTCGGATGGATTGAAAATTTCCAATCTATTTCAATCTATTTTCGTTTGCTGGGCGAAACTGCTGCGAATTGTTACGAACCACGTACACCATTATTTATTTCAGATTCTTTCATTTCGTGCAAAAACGCATTGAATAAGCTTAATTTCGTTTATTCTGTGTATATATATAAAACTTTTTCGAGTATATGAAAGTATACAAATATAGTGTTCTGCGTGGTTTTACAATACGTATGTGCCTACAAATAATATACACATTATCTGACAACAGGAAAAGTGGATAGTTAGCAATCTAATGTTATAATAGAAATCTATGGTTTGGAAGCACGGTGCGAGAGGTAAAATATTAAGACAACTTATCCTTCTGTGCGCGTCGACATTTGTATTACTGAAAAAAATAAAATAAAGCCTGTGGCACATGATGTTTGTTTTCCTGGATTAGAATCTTGTTAGGCTTAAGGCCCATTCTACAATCGTATGTCGGAGTCGGGCGTCGTACGCATGCGCACTAGACTGTCGAATGAAGTTGTCGCAAGTCGGCTATCGTTGTCGGAATAAAAGATAATCAATTCCCATCTTTTCTGACTATGACTAGATGAAACATAATCTTCGGACACATTTGTGTATGGCTAAACAGATATTTTTATACGGATATATGAATATGTTTATATTATATTATGGAATCACTGAATGTACAAATAATTATTGATTTTGTTTGCGAAAATCATTGCTTGTATGATAAACGATGTGGATTTTAAAAATGTTAGCAAAAAAAAGATCTGTGGCAAAAAATATTCACAAATTTAAGAAAATATATATTATGATATAAATATATCAGGTAATTTTTTTATTTGTTAAATTATTATTATTTAATATAAAAATATTTTATAATTTAATTCTTTTGTCTCAAACTTAAGAAATGCTTATAAGAACTTGAAACTTGAATAATATATGTTTCGATCATCGTTTTGATCCAAATCAATGCATAATAGTCGTCAAGCAAGTGGAGTCGCATTATTTTATAATCATATAATTTGCATCCAAATTAATAATAAATTTGAATATGTATTCAACGTTTCAATATCCATTCTTTACATTTGTTCCGACTTTTCGACTTCAATCAACGACTCAATTATAGAATAGCAAGTATTCATGTGCGACATACAATATACGACAAACGATTAGCGACAGCCGACATCGACTGATTGTAGAATAGGTCTAACATCGTTGAAGTAAGGCACTATGAAAAAAAAACGTGAGTGTTCGCATATCCATTTTCATTCCTTTCCCCTTGCTCTGTTCCTACTCCGCCCCTGAGCTATAAAGGTTATGGTCATTACGATTGTTATAGATTATAGCTTCTAAGCTGTTGGAAACCTTATAACTTCGTATTTATGTATTTTCGCACTTCGAAATTTTATCAAGAATAAGAGACGAAAAGGATATAAAAAAACTAAAATATTATATATTAACGAAGGCAAAAAAATTTATAAAATGCTTTGTTGCGTTGCGGTAAACTGTATCAATAGATCAAAAAAAGGTATTCGATTATTTAAATACTTACATTTCTAGTTTTCTAATTGAAATAGTAAATCCATAAGTTTGTGGTATACACTTATAGACGAACTTATGGACTTACTACTTCAACAGTATTACTAATCCGTACAAATTAAAATCATGCCTAGGGTTTTTGTTAATACCAATATTTTCCAGTCTAATTTTTCGGAAAAATGTAATCGATTAAGGATACCGTGTAAACATGATAATAATCATAGAATCGATTTTCATATTGATTATATATAATGTAGACTTCATTTGGATTTAATAAAAGTTGGTACAGATCGTTTGATTAGAAAAAGACGGTAATAGAACACTCTACACCCATATGTAACATGTTTTTGAAACAGTGTTAATATAAAATCGTAACAAAAATGAAAGTGATATGTAACGAAACGCTCTACGAAACAGCTAACGCGCAGTAATAGGATTTTATAACAATTCGTCACTTCAATGTTTCATGTTACATGACATTAATGAGATTATACAATAGTGTCTGCCCAATGCCCAGTCTACAACACAATTCGTCATTTGCCAATCAACGCGATTCATATTGATGAATTTAATAAGATGATATATAAAGTCATTATGTTCTATATTTGATGTAATAAAAATTAATTGAAAAAAGTTCTTAGTTTTTTACCCTTTAAATTTCCTTTGGTTCATTTTGTATAAATTTCTTACTTACATCTTGAGTCTTTGTATTCTCCATTTTAATTTTTTTAAGTTTCTCTTCTATTATTTTGAGTTCATCCATTTCTTTTTGGATTTTACGGTTTATTTGATATTTAGCTACCGCTTGTGCCAATGGTCCTAGCTCTCCCTTCATCGCAGCATTTACCATCGCCTATTTATAAAAAAAATTTTTTTATTAAATGTGTAACGTTTAGAGTACAAATTATGCAAATTCTTACATCTCGTCGCCTTTTGGCATCGTTAGATGTACCTATTGAATCTGTCTCAGTCTGTGGCCCTAGTTCGACAAGAATTTGAAAATCCGCGTGTTCACCTAATCGAAAACCCACGCCAAATCTGGAATCAGTTCCTGTAGATTTCATCATAATAAACATCGATATAAGTTAACAAGGATTATATAATAAGGTTATATTCTTAACTTATGATATACTTAACTTTTTTAATAGGCGATATATTGGAATATATCAAACTTAGGATTGTCGGAAGCTCTTCTGGTATAATCAGACTTGTTACATCTGTGAATTTTATTTTTATATCAATTTTTAATCGTTACATATAAATGGAAAAACTTATGAAACTTGTCATGTTTTTTACTAACATAATTTTATCTTAATAAATGTTTTTATCTCTTACAAAAAATACAACCAATGCCTCCAATTTGATTTTAACAAGATTTAGATACGTTTTGGATACGAAAATATATAAAAATAAGATAAAAAAAAGATGTTAATATTTTTAAGATTTCCACGGGTACTTTCTGTATAGAAGAAGTGTTTTGCATGTTTAAGTTACCTATATCAATTCTTAAAATGCTAACGTTTTATAAACGTTGCAGTTCATAATGTGCCCGATGAATACAAAAATTTGTAATTGAGCTATAAATTGTATTTATTCAAAATTTTCACATTAAAAAAATATAATCATATATATTCATTCAAAATTTTTGGGTCTATCAAAAATATTTATTCACAAAGAAAACTATATAATTATACTATATAATTATACATATAATATACTACTATATAATTATACATATTTAACGAGTATTCATATTCATTTAAGTATTCAAACAAAATATAAACTGAAAAAGAAAGCTCTAATAAGTAATCGTTATCCTACCAGCACTTTGATGATTTTAAGTACAATAAAAAAAATAAATTTTATTTATTTTCGTTGTAATATTTACATTTGAAAGGAAAACTTAGAAATTAAAAAAACAGAAAGCAATACATTTTTTATTTATAAGTATAATCTATTTGATATGATATCAAGAGATATGTAATGACTCGCGTCAAACGAATGCGAAATGCCCATGTCTTTATTCAAGCCGGCGAGTTGCGAGCATCCGAGATTATCAGATCATTGAAATTACACAGAAGTTGATCGATTCTGAATAATCTCAATGGACAACTCGGGTTTAAATCATATAATTACTATAATCATATAATTAAACTATTTGTTGTCTACCCTATACAAACAAAGATATCGCGATGTGAAGTGTCCAAAGTGTTAAATTTTTAAGATACGTTTTCATCATCATCTTCATCATCGCCCTCGGAAATGTTATCCGTTTCATATTTTAAACAGCAGATGGCACTCACCTGTTGCGACACTCATAATGGAAAAAGATAAATAAGAAGAGAAGACCATGATATAAGAATATAAAATATTTCATTTCCAAAGATGCGCAATTATCTTCAACATAGTGACTACTTTTTGATCAATCAAAAATTTGTTCTAAATTTAGATTGATTCTAATTTAGGAATGTTTGATTGGTTGTCCTAATTTAATCTGTCAGCTATTAAGGCTTAAACACAATAGACAATATACAGGAAACAGAGAATAACAAGCTGTCCAATCAGAACTCTAGGATATAATATCGAACTTACACACCAGAGCTCTGATTGGACTTGTTATTCACTGTTGCCTGTGCCTATTACCTATGCCTATTGTGTTTAAGCCTTTATGCGCAATGAAATATTTTATATTTTTATATCATGGATAAGATTTGAAGAAAGCCATATATATAACACTCTTATATTGCTAACGCAGTCTCTTTTTGAGAGTGCGAGATGTGCGAAGACAACAAGATAGAAAATACCGGATTCTCATTTCTACAATGTATCTCGAATGTACGCATGCGCTGGCATAAGTAACAAAGTTCCATTTTTGTTTTTTTTTTAAACACTTTACATAAACAACAATGTTGGACATTACATAATCATATATGTAATACTACCTTGATCAAAAAATTCAGGAATTCATTCAGAAAATTCAAAATACAAGTTTTATTCATCAAAAGTGATATTGTCCCCTTCAAAGTACTCCCCATCGACTGCAACGCACTTATGCCAGCGCTTGATTTAGCTCACGTTTCTGAAACTCTATTGTTGGTATAGCCATCAGAGCCGTCTTCGATTTTTTCATTACCTCCTTTCGGCTGTTAAAACGCGTTCCCAGTAATGATTTTTTCATGCCACTCATAAACGGCTGTTTTCTTTAGAGTATCACTGCTGAAAGAGTTTCCCAACATTTCCAAGGTTTTCACACCATTGAATCCATTTTTAACGCAAAATTTACAAACCCGTTGTTGCAAATTCAACTCTATTTTTAAAACTATAAAAAATCGAAAATACGTGCAGAGGTAGATGTACTTAAGATGGCGTAATTTTTACAAATGTCATGCTATGGTGATAAAATTTGGTGGGAATGTCAATGATAGATGTGGCAACATAACCAAAAAAACAGAACTCAAATCAGTTGACTCAGAGCATCATCTAGTGGTAATTCCGGGAACTTTTTGATCAAGGTAGTATGCACTATGCAATAAATACGGATGCGGATGCGGATCAGTGCAAATGTGCACCCAAGAACTTCGATTTTTTTCCTCAATTACTTTTTTAAAGTAAAAATTCCAAAAATTCAGATTATTTCGTCTTTACGTCAAATTAAGTTGTAAGCGAACGTAAGGTTTAGTTATGTCGTTAATCACAACATGAACTATGAGCATTAATGTAAAAATATGGAATCATTTCTTAATTTGTGATTTCCGAGGTAAAGAATTAAAGTACTTGGTATCAATTATGAAACTTTATCCTCACGATGGAAAGTGAAAAGTAAAAAATTTCTCCAATTTCAATGATAAAAGTTTTCACTTTTCACTTTTTATCCTAGGGATAAAGTTTCATGATTGATATCCTTGGAGATATCAATCCCTTATTATATAGAAGGGTACTTTCCAATTGCAATATCTCTAGATTTTCGTGCATGACGATACAAGTTGCGTTTCAATTGTCTGTTATCGTCGACACAACACTACACATCTGTCTCAATCGAGTGTTGTATAAGCTTGTGTTTTCTAATGACAATTATTTGTTATTTACTGCGGCTATAAATGAGGTTGAAAGATGTTGAGCCGGCACTTTTACTTTTTTTTATTTAAAGTATTTTTAATACAGGCGGAAAAAGCTTTTAACTTATTAATTAGTTATTACTCAATCCTGCATATGTATGTTGACTTATATATTATATATATCTGGGGTTTTACACAAGTGCGTTTGATTTATAATAGTGTTCCAGAATGTTGATCACAAGAAGGATCTTAATTACGTTCTTCCTACATGGCCCCCCTTGCTTTAAAACTCTTTTAAAAAATCCTTTTAAAAACTCTTGGACGTAACACAGTATTATTCAATATTTACGCAGTATTACGTGCTATTTGAGAATATTGCATACGAAATAATATACTTACGGTCGTAGAAGATTAACAAAAGCAGCAACTGTGAAACCAGGGTCTTCACGATCATTTTAAAGAAGAAACTCTGCGTACACACCGATTATTCGTATTCAAGTTGTGTTTAATTTCAATGGCTGTTCTATATATGTAACTAAACATGATAAATAAAGATTAATTTTCAGGATAATTGGGTATGATTTTTTAATTATCTAAGGTAACATCGATCTATTGTACTGTAAATTGTATTTTAATTTTGCAATTACCGCTTATAAAAAATTTATTAATTCATAAATAATTTTAATCTTAACTGAGAAAAATGTAATAAATAAGAATAGAATAAAATTTTAAAAATATTTTTTATAAAATAATTTTTTATTTTATTACAATTAAAAAAATAAAGATATATATCTTTTTAAAATAACAATATTTATTTAAAGCACTTTTATAGACTGATATTATATTTTGAAAGTTAAATAGAATTACTGAGCCAGAACTAAGTTAAATCATAATAATAATTCTACAAATTAAAATTATGTCCCGACATAATAACAATTCCAAATTTTTGTCTTTGACACAATTAATAATTTAATATTGAAATTGTATTTAAATTAAAATAAAAACAATTTTTATTATGTCTTGACATAATTTTAATTCGTTGAATTATTATTATTATATCGCAATATAATTTCAATTTAATAAATATAAAGAATTCCGCATAAAATCATAGGATTTTTGGTCTTCGGTGAAATTATTGGCTGAAACTTTAGTATGTTATAGTTCTTGACTCACTGATCAAAAATGTTCAATAGGCACAAAACTTGAAAATGACTAGTTTTTTTGTTATAGCCCTTTAAATTTTTATTAAGTTTTATTTTATTAAGTCTCCTGAATACTCAGCTAAGAACTCTATGTTGATGCCGGTCACAAAAAGGTTGCAATACTTATTTTTCAATGAGTTTCGGAATGCAACTTGCTCACCGAGCGATTGATTCTTATTCATGGATCCGTAAATAAGAATCAATCGCTCGGTGAGTAGGCTTCCGAAACCCATAAAAAAAAGTTGCAACCTTTCTGTGACCGGCTGTACATGTGCTTTCGGCACGCCAAAGGAGAGTACATGTATGTATGTACATTGCAGTGTATTAATTCGCTGGGTCGTAGTAGCGGCCCGACTCGACGTTTATTTTTTACTGAAATACTATCAACTTTACAGAAAAACTGCAAGAGACAAAAATCATTTATTTTCGTTTCAGAACTCTAAGAATTTTTTCAGAACTTTTTATCAATTTTTTAGTACTGCATTCTTCTTTTTTAGTACTGCATTCTTATTTTCGATAAGTTGGGCCGCTATTATGACTCAGCGAATTAATGCACTGCACATGGGCTCGTGCTTACAGCACCTCGCAATACAATCCACAATAAATGGCTGAACTTATAGGCGTGAAAAAGTGATGTTGACGAAAATTGTGTCCATTTCGTTATTATTTGCTTAATTATGAAAATGTGATTTGTCTCGTATTTATCAAAATCATAATTATCGACGAAAACTAAAATTATCTTGAAATTTTATATGTAGAAGTGTATTTTTCATTCATTTCAACAACTGTCAAACCCTATATTTTTGCCTGAGTATAAGTTTATTTTATATGCCTTTTACGATTGTCAAGGGAGAAAAAGACAGTTTTCGTTGATTTTTATAAATGTTTTTAAGCGATCTTGTCATTTAGATTTATCCAAATTGTATTTATAATATTTACAAATGGCTACATAAATATAGGCATAAAGTCTAAATTAAGTGTTGTTTCTCGCTTCTGACGTTTCTTCATGATTCTAACATGGCCGTAGCGATTACTCCGGAGTCTTAATGCCTCAAGTGTCTGTAATAAATCAAAAGATAACAACGCCATTCACTCTCATCACTCTCACTCTATCCCCATCCCCCTCCACATACACGCCCGCGCGCGCAATTTTATAATTTAGCATAAAAATCGAAGCAAATCTTTTATAATCATCTTTTATAATCATGTATTTAGATTCTGCTAGATTTTACTTCTCTCATGCATATCGTTTGAAATGCATAAATTCCTTGATCTCTCACGTGCGAAATGCTTGATTATCATGACTCGAATGTTTGTTTCCGTGCGTGAAGCACCGTGTGCAAAAATCGTGTGCTTGCTGAAGTGCGATAACAACATATAGGAGAGAAAATTCTTTTCAATCAGAATAGAAAATTCTTTTCAATTAGGAATGAAAATTCTTTTTCCTCTTCTCTGTTTTTTTTTTGTGGATCTCAAATGTGAGAAGCAAGAGAGCTTATAAAACTCCAAGGAATGAAATCAACTCCAAAGGAATGAAACGCCTATTATATTCACGTCATTCATTCTGGATAATTATGAGAATAGGCGAAAAACTAAAATCATAAACGTATTTGATATATATATATACACCAATATATATACACCATTAATATATACACACACACGCACGTAAGCGCACAAAAGCGTAATAAAAAAAAGATTTACTTCGATTTTTATGCACTTTTTTTATATAAATTTTTTTATGTAAAATTAACGCGCAGGAGTGCGTATGTGGGAGGGGGGGGGGGGGAGGAATGAGAGGGAGGATGATGAAAGTGAATGGCTTATTGTTATCTAAAATCTCTTGATTTATTAAAAATTTGATTTAATGCATTAACAAAATAAAATTTTAAACGGCTATAATAAAACTAGTCATTTTCAAGCTTTGTATCTATGAACATTTTTGATCAATGAGTCAAGAACTATAACTATATAATATACTAAAGTTTCAGCCAATTTCATCGAGGGCCAAAATACAATAATTTTGTGCGGTGTCCTTTGTGCTTTTTAATATTAGTTTCAGAGAACATTTTATGCTGTTATAAAGTAAAAAAGAGCTTGTCATTTATTCATTAATGATGTTAAAAATTTAAATTTTCCAAATTAAAACTTATATCGCAATATTATGAACAAGATAAAATAATATCCTGCGTTTTGAACACTTCGAGAACACAACGCGTTCCATGCTCAAATTGTATTTCAAAATTAATTAGCATGAAAAAAAGATATTCTAATATGTTCAAAAATATTTTGAATCGTAAAAAAAAAAACATCGATCACTGAGCATTACTTCTTGATTTCTTTAAATGTTCTATTGAAATGAAAAATCTTTTAGAGAGATTCTCGGCTTTAACGAGTTTGTGACTTCTTTGAACATTTTATATCTCGGAAATTGTCCTTGTTCTTGACATATATTCTTGACATATATTCATCATCGAAACACTTCCACAACGAAATTTCATTCCAAAAACAAAATTTTATGCAAATTCTTTGCTCAGCAAAATTTAGCATATTAAAAATTGCCGGAAGTTTTTTTTCTCAGTCAAGTTATTTTATTTTTAAACTAGTGTTAATTTCAAAAGCATTTATTTCTGAATTAAGAAAAGTAATTACATTAAATTTTAAACAGTAATTAGAAATACTCTTACCAATCTAAAAAAAAAAAATATTTTCTCGATTCCTTCAAAGCACGCAGTTTAATGGCCCATTATAATTACTTTTTGATCACAGATAATATGCTTCGTGCCTAACATAAATTTAATTTATCAAATGTCATTTATTATATGTTTAAGATAAATGAACTGTACCGATAAAAAACTTTGCATTGTCTATAAAAAAATATTAAAAATCTGAAATACTTATTTTTCGCATTAAGAAAAATCTTTTAAATCCTTGCATTTTTACCGTATATCCTAGGATATCATATATCCTAGGACTGAGATATATGTATAGATCACAGATGTAGGATGTACGACTCATGAAAAATTTACAAATAATGCTTAGAAATAAAGCTTTTCATAGGTATTATCTTCAAAGATACTACAGAAAGTGGTATTTTTGAAAATAATATCCATGAAAGATAATCCTAACGTGATTTTGCGCTATCATCATATTTTCATCCATTGTTAATGCCAACGTTTTGTGAATCTTCAATTCATTAAAGCGAAGAGCACTGATATTGAGAACGCAATCGAGTATATTTAATAGTTATAATTATTTAATAGTTATAATTAATCATCCAAAGAAAAAATAGCGACCTGTGTTTACATCATTCCGCAAACGGAATGCGATTCCTATAACAGTAGTGTTTCTACTGACTACAAAGAAATACTGATTTTCTTTGGAGATTACAGTATACATATCAAGATTTAAAAATGATGATACTTATCGAAATTAGAATGTTAAGGGACTATTCGTAGAAAAAAATGGCGGAACCAATCAGAAATCGAGACTGTTGCGCTTCTCTTTTATATCTAGGACTCTAAAGCAATTTCACGCAGCGAGTAAAAACTGGCGTTTTATTCTCTCTTCATCAATTTTCGCCAAATTGACGAATCCAGTGAATAAATGCTCGAAGTTCGATATTGTTCAACTATGAGCGAAGCAACGCTGATTCTGATTACGGCCCACTTGATTGATTAAATATTTCGAATATTTTGATCAATCAATTTTTTAAATTGTTTGTTTAATGCTCCTTTATTCATGACATGGGAGTAACTTCGCCAGCGAAACTTCGCTCCATGAAAAGGAAAAAGGCGATAACTTTAGCTTTTCAACGCTGAATTGTGACGGAGTGGGAAACGCTAGCTTTTCTTTACTCGCATGAAAAAGCAGCTTAATATTGCTCCTCCGGAGAACTCCCTCTATAGATGCTGTAGGAAGGGCGATGATATCGAGGAAAGGGGAAGGGAAGTTCCTTGTCTAGAGAGCAATTTTCCATACCCTATTTACATTATAACCTGAAACCCTTTAAAATTGTCTGGATGTTTCTGTATTTCTGTAGTCTGTCTGTACTTCTTCAGAAAATATGACATCGTTGTAACTGTAGTAGCGTTTTATTGAATAGTATTTAATGCCTCAACGCTGTGTTCTGCCAACGCTGATTGTATGATATACATACTTCAGAGTTTCAGCATGACGTCCCGTGATATTCCTTTCCAACTTGATGTTCCTTCATACGCACGTTGACATCTTTCGGTTTCACCAATGTATACTTTCCCACAAGAGCAAGATATTTTGTATACTCCATTGAGTGGAGGTCTGATCTTAAGGATTTCTCAAGATTTGTTGGATCTTCTTTGGAGGCTTGAAAATGGTTCGAATGTTGTATCTGTTCAAAATCCTGCCGAGATTCGTCTATTGTTCCTTTTACACATGAAAGAAGAGGCTTCTTTTGTTTAATTCTTTCTGTGATTGTTGTTTGAGTTGTCTCGTTCTTGTGTTTGCTGATTGTCCTGTTCACATTCTTCTATTATATCCGTTTCGCTGTAAGATTTGTTTCAAATGGTTGAGTTATTTACAGAAGATCAAACTACAGAACGAAGATGGAGACTCTTGTTTCGAATAAAACATACACAAGGTTTGATAGAGATTCAAATAGAAACATTAGCATTTTAATAGAAAAAAGCAGATTCTCTTCAGCAAAGCAATATTGAAACACGAATTCTCTTCTACTAAGACTATATGGTTTGCCAAAAATATATAAATTCAATATCCCTCTCAGACCAATTGTCAGCACCATAAAATCTCTAACCTCTCGCTTAGCTTGCGATTACAAACTCTGATATGGAGGACTGAATCACATATCGCCAATTCAATTTCATATGGAAAATCCAAAAAATTCATCTGCATTCTGAAGATATATTGATGAGTTTCAATGTAGAGTCACTTTTCATAAACACATTCCAATAAAAGAAATTCTAGATATAATTAAAACGTCTCACCTAATGTTCCCAATAATATCATCCTTTTAATTGAGCATTGTCTAATGACTACATGATTTCCTACAATGACTAATTCTATGAACAGATTGGAGCGGCTATGAGCTCTCCCATCTCTCCTGTAATTGCAAATCCTGATAGCAAAGCCTGCGGAGATAGATTTTGAGCAAAGCTTATTACCAATTTTTTGATTGCAAAAAACAACAAATTATACACAGAGTTTGTACTATCAGATTAACAAACTGTTGGCAAAACATGTCAGCAGGCTTATCGACAAATCCATAGCTAAATATGGACACAGATAGCTATAATTTTGTAATCAAAATCTGATCAAATTTGTTGCCGCAAATTGCTAATATTTTGCTATCAGGGAACATGTTCATGGGGTATTTCGAGGAAGAGATTCTTCGTAAGATCAATAAACTAGAAGTTTGATTTCGTTATATATGACACATTCGTAATCTGAAGATTAACATGCACATAAAAGAACATCAATGGTAGTGAACTTCATAAATTCTTAAACTTCTCAACAATCAACATCCCAATATTTGATTTACTATGACATAAAAGAGAATGATTCCCTTTTTCAATGTTTTTCATTGTTCTGATTGTTCTTTTTTCTTGCCGCAAAAAAGACTGACAATATATTGGGCCATCAAGTATATACAGAAGCCAACACACACTAACTGATATTTACATACCGAATCACATTACCACTAGCACAAAAACAGTCGACAATACACTCATTTGTGCATAAAACATCCAGTATCTCTGATAAAGAACATCTACCTAAACAGAACTTAACCATTTGAAACAAATCTTACAGCAGAACAAATACAAGAAGGATGTAAAGCAGGACAAAAAAACAACTGATACACAACAAGAAACAGGAAGAAGTTTTTCTATTTTCCCATATGTAAAAAGAACAATAGATCGAATTGACATTTTGAATAAACAATATCCGAACTCTTTTCAAACCTCCAAGGAAGATTGAGCAAATCTTGAGAAATTTTAAAGATCAAAGATCTCTACTCAGTTTCAGGAGAGTATACAAAATACCTTGCGGGAAATTATACATCGGTGAAATCGAAAGAATGATCAACATACATGTGAAGGAACATCAACGGGCTTCATGTCAGCAGGGAAACATGTCATTCAATCAGTATTAGCAGAACACAGCGTTGAGGCAGGATATTAAATATTATTCGATAACACTACTATAGCTACAATGTCATATTTTCCGAAGAAGTACAGAGAGGCTTTAAAAATACAGAAACATCAGGCAATTTGAATAGAGACTCAGATTATAATGTAAATAGGATACGAAAGATTATTCTCTTAACAAGCCAAGAATTCCCTCCTTCCTTTTTTTTAACATATCCTTGCCCTTCTCCATATAAAAGAAATTTTCCAAAGGAACAGCTCAGTATCAGTGCGTTTCTCGCTCTGATGAAGTGAACGGTAACGTTCAGGAAAAGCTGGCATTAGCAATGGATGAAAACATACGATAACCTGCAATGCTTAGAAATAAAATGTAAAGTGACACAGTAACTTATAAAATGTATTTACAAAGTCTTGTGAAGAGAAATAAAAATGATAGATATACACTGCTAAAAAAGCTGGATAATACTTTTGACACGCTCAAAATTGTACAATTTTCAATCATCAAATTTGATGAAAAATTGCGTAAAAAAATAAAAAAGCATTTTAAAGTTTGAAACTTGTATTTTGACTGTTTTTGGTTTTTTTTTAAATTCTTATCTTTATAGTTCTATATCTTAATAAAGATTATGTTTTAAATAAGAAGAATCCTATATTCGATCGAAATAAATCTTAGCTTAAATATATACATTATACTTTTTGTGTGAATTTATATATTCCAATTCTGCATATCACGCGTCGAAATATTTTTCCGAATTTAAATCACATTCATAAACAGAACCCAACAAGTGGGAGATTTGGGTTCGATTTTCGAGGTAATATTTTTGGCAATAAATTATTCATAATTTTTAAATTTTATTAACATTATGACAATATTGTTAAAAAAAAATGCTTATTAGCATAAAAAAATTATTAAATTGCTTGTACATTGTAATTTAATAAGTGATATTACTTTTCTCTTTCCACTCATGAACGCGTTTTAAGTCTAAAAAATTATTTCAACGCACAACATGCAGAATCAAAAAATGTAACTTCACATAAGAAATATATATGTCTCTCAAAAATACAAAGATACCAATTTACGCATAATTAGGTGTAAAAACATGAAGAAAGACTGTAAAAGGACAGACATGTATATATACATATGGAATTATATGCATTAAAGAATTAAATATATTTCTTATATTGATCAATTTGTTTACTAAATTTAGCTACAATGGCGAAAGTGAAATCGAAATGAGGTGAGATTGCATGTCCAAGCAGCGTTTCTAAAGTAAAAAACCACTTATATATACTTTTTTAATGCTTTGTGTGCTACTTGGGTATGTAAATATATATCCAGTTCTCTTAAGAAAACGCAGTATACATCTCCACATTAAATTATTTCCTATTTTTAATATTATTTACTATATGTGTGTGTACACATATATAATACACACACACACACACACACACACACACACACACACACACACACAAATATATATTCATATTATTATATTATTTTCGTATTATTTCTTATTTTCTATAGCTGCTTCCTCAACAAACACATTTAATTATGTCAAATAAATGAAGAAAATACGTTATGATATGAAGAAAACTTGATAGACACGTTCTGTTCTACAACTTACATGAAAGTGAAACTTAAAAACACCGACGGTCTCACTAATCAACGTTCTAGAAACGAACTGAGGTTTCTTTTATGAAGTATGTCTTCAGTATTAAGCTGGTGCGAGAAAGAATGCTCATTGAAACGCTTTTAAAGTGAAAGGACAGCCTGCGGGATTTAGAATTGAGGTCACCAGCAGTCAAACCAAGTATCAATATTCGCTCTTATAACTAAAATCTTTTTCTTGGGCACACAAATTTCACATACGATCATAATTTGAATAAGTTTGATGCTATCACAATGAATATTCACTGAATGGCCTCGTGCCACTCAATAATTTATGATTAACAAACGGCAAAAGGATGTCGTTTCACGATGTGCGAGTTACAGATACGTTTTAGTAACTATTAGAGAATTGCATTGGGAAATGACAACTTAAATAATATATGTTCACTTGATTCTACATAATGAAAACTTTCTACTTCGAGTAATAGTCGCAGATTAGCGTATATCATAAATCGTATATACATATAATAATAGAATACAATTCATTTGCTTTCTCACTTATAAAGAGTCTCACTTTAACTATTATGCAGTAAAATATCTCAAAATTCAATCATCAATCATCAAAATTATAAATTTAGAAGAAAACGAAAATTGTATAATCTAGAGGGAGACAAATATTGGTAAAATGAATTGTTGAAAAAAATTAATTTTTTGAGATCATCGCCATTTTTTTAAATAGAATTATAATAATTTTTGTCACATAATATAATTATTCTGCATATAAAAGTATTAAGACAGATATTGAAAAATCAATAATTTATCAGAAATATTTTTTACAATGTGTATAAAAGTATTAAGATTTATCAAAAAAATTAATTGTTTGTAAGATTTTTATGTTAAAATATACCAGAATAAAGTATAAAATACATGATTATAAATTATTAATTTTACAATATCTATTAGGAATGCACGGATCATACCGAATACCTGGATATCTGAAAAGAATGATACCGAATATCTGATATCTGATCGGATATCCGGCAGATAATTATCCGGCCGGATATCGGATATTTTCCAAGTATTACTTTGCTGTTTTTTGATTCAAGGGCCTTTCGAAACACGTATTTTTAATTGTAGAATCATGCTATATGATGCATTTAAACTCAAAATTCTTTAATAAAACAAATTTAAGAATACGATCGTGTAAATAATATACATAAATTTGAGAGAGAACATCAATAATCGGTTAAATGTTATGAATACAATATAGATTCTTAATTTAAATTTAAATTATATCTGAGATAATTAAATTTAAAGTAAGAATATCTTATGTCTCGTTTTTGGATATGCGTGTTGTTTGGATGGATCTCGAATCCTTTGTTATTTATCGTTAAAGTCAATAAAATATTTTTGTATGTCATTTATCTATTACAACAGAGACAAATTTGTCAGTAAATCAATTAAAAAATTAAAATAGATTAAAATGGAGATTAATGATAAAATTTACGTATGAATTACGAAGGGACATCATATCTAGATGTTAGTAACGAATTTAAATGAGAAAAATAACACTATAAGGATCAAAGAATTCGATATTTATTTATTATTGCTACTAATTATAAGACTAATAAATAAGAATGAGATTCATTAAGACTGTGTATTTCTTTGTGAATTGCTACCCTTTGTTTGCTCTTTAATATGTAACATTTCAGAAATTTTCCTTTTATTATAATTAGTTTTTATATCTTGAATCTTGGTATCTTCCCAATCAATAGAATAATTATAGTTCAAAATATTGAGTAATAACCGAGTGTCTTGACAAATCACACTTAATGTTGTCTCTACACCAGTTTATTTACACCAGTTCCAAATTCCCTCATTATCAGTCCCACGAAACCTCGCAATCCATGCAATTTATTTTATGGACGTTTTGAATTGAAAATTTATTCCATTTATCCTTGTGTATGTACTTTTATGAAGGAATTTAATTTGTTTAAACATCTATATTCGTTATAAAAATGGGTTTATTAGAAGACGTGATGATATTTGATACGTTAGGTAAAAATGGTAAATTAAAAAAAATTTTTTATGAAATTATAGAATCCGTATTACACTGACATTTTCCCGTAGTCCTATATAGCACCGATTATTGCGGAAAATTTAGAAATGTTTCAATCTTCTATTAGTTTTAATCTCATGTGCAACAATTCTGAAAGGATTCTGCAATATGAAATGTTTCTAAAATCTATCATATGCAATAGATTGAAAAACATAGGACCGATCTCATCAATTCCGATTAATCTTATCGATCGATTATTACATTAAAATTGACCAATCGCATTTGCTGTTCAATAGAATTGATCAATCACGGTTGATACTTATTGACCAAGCTTAATCGGAGTTGATCGGATGAGACCGGGCCATATTTAATTAGAACAAAAAATCATCATGACAAAATATCTTCAAAAGTTTGTTGAAAGTCATTTTTTTCAATCACGATTCAATTTAATGTAATTTTGATGTTATTGTGATGTACTTGTTTAATTGCGAAAAACTTTTTTATTGACTATTTTTGATTAACTGTTATTGTTCTCAGCAAACGAGAATGGATTAAAATGGATTGAAATTTTTTTTCATCCAAATTTTTTTCTATCCAGTATTTTAAATAGCGAATATTTTTTTTTAATTGGATTCAATTGGATTTAATTAGATTCAATTGGATGCAATTGAATTGAAAAACTGCATTTCCTATTCAAAATTTTGAATTGAATATTCATACAGAAAAAACTAATATTATTTTTAGATTGAAAGGCATAGAGATATGCTCCATGCAATTCCTATAAATGAATAAAAATGCATTCAAGATTGAAAAACATTCATTTTAACATTCGTGAATCAATATTTCTGAAAATCTGAATCCATTTCAATTCATTTCAATCCATTCTCATTTACTGGGGTTTTTAAGATGGTTCTTAAGTAAAATGCCGAAAATTTGGGATGGCTTATCCAAAATTACAAATATCTGCATAATTTGGAAAATATTAGGTTATCCGAAAAGTTCGTGCCGATTTTTGGTAGGTGGCGTAAGGACAAGTCTGAATATATCAGAATGAAAACAAATGACATGCGTACATATCGTAAAAGACGGTACTTTAAGCATACTTGAAAAAAAATTTGGTTGCAATACGTTAATTTTTGTCAGTTTTATACGCCTTTGAATATGGAAGAAAACAAAGTGCATTTTAGGCATTTAATGCTTTTCTTTTATCGGAAAGGCAAAAATGCCACACAAGCGGCAAACAAGATATGCGCTGTTTATAGCGAAGGTGCTGTAGCTGAAAGAACTGTGCGGAAGTGCTTTGCTAGGTTTAAAGCTGGATTTCAACCTTGAAGATCAAGAACGCCCAAATAGGCCCTTCACCACAAATGAAGATCAGATTAAAACATTGATCGAGAATAATCCACGCTACGACACGTAAATTAGCAGAAATGTTGAATATGTTAAAATCCACCATCCACGAGCATTTTGTGAAGCTTGGCTACATAAATCGTTTTGATATATGGGTTCTCCACGATTTAACGGAGAAAAATCTGATGGATCGCATTTCCATTTGCGACTCACTCTATAAACGCAACGAGGAGACCATTTTTGAAGCAAGTAGTGACGGAGGATGAAAAATAGATCATTTACAATAATGTTGAGCGAAAAAGATCTTGGGGAAAGTGAACCACCTTTAGTCATCCGAAAAGCTGGTCTTCATCCAAAAAAGATCATACTATATGTCTGATGGGATTGGAAAGGGATCTTATATTATGAGTTTTTATCAAACAACGAGATGATAAATTCAGAGAAGCATTGTTCCCAATTAGTCGAATTGAAGATAACAATTGAACAAAAACGTCTAGAAATAACGAATCGGAAGGATGTCGTGTTTCATCAAGACACGCGGCCTCTGTATCTTTGATAACTTGACAAAAATTGTTGGAGCTCGGTTGGAATGTTCTATCGCATCCATCATATTCACCAGACATTCGCGTCCTCTGATTTCCACCTATTTCGATCATTACAAAATTCCCTTAATGGAAAAAGCTTCAACTCTTTGGTCAAAGTAAAAAAATCACTTAGAAAAGTTTTTCGCTGAAAAACCTGAGATTCTGGAAGGACGGAATTTTCAAGTTGCTTGAAAGATGGAGAAAGGTTGTAGAACAGAATGGCACCTATATAATTTAATAAATGTATACTAAAATTTAAATCTTCTGCGTTTCAATTTTTCTTCAAAATCGGCACGAACTTTCCGGACAACTTAATATTATATCTACATGTATAGCTTAATAAAATAATATAGAACATACAATAATAAATCAAGAGTTATATCTTCATCGAACGAAAACAAGATGAGATTATGTTTACTTTTCGAGATTATCCAATCAGTAGACAATGTTTTCAAAAATGTTTTAAAAAATATTTAAAAAACAAATATTTAAAAATATTTTAGAAATATTTTTAAAAATGATGGATGAAGTCCGAGGGGAGTTAACCACTCAAAAAATAGATACACCTGGACTTCGGACTTCAAGTCTTCACCGCATTTCATCATACTTCACCGGAATTTATCTGACTTCATCGGAATTCATGAATTCCGATTCACCGGACTTCACCGGATTTTATCGAACTTCGAAGAATTCCTCGGACTTTGTCGAACTTCACCAAACTTTTGACAGATTGTATCGGAATTCAAAAATGATTACCCCTTCGCTTAAGTCTCCTTTTTTTGATTAAAAAAATGTTATTGTAATGTTTGAAGAAACATTTCTTTAACGTTTAAAAACCGTTTATTTAACGTTTGAAGAAACATTTCTTTAACATTAAAAAAATTTTTTAATGTTAAAACTATTTAACGTTTGAAGAAACATTTCTTTAACATTAAAAAAATTTTTTAATGTTAAAACTATTTAAACAAAATTAGAAAAAATAACATAGAATCTTTTTTTAATTTATTTTTTTTTATCAACAGTATCTAAACCTTATAACTAATTTTATTAATTAATTCTAATTTTTAATTATATTTCAATCTTTTTCACTTATCGGCCGGGTTT